GGGCCCGGGGAAGGGGGCGAGGGGGCCAGGCCACACGCACGGGAACACACACGCAGACGGATCCCTCCTTTCTGGAAAGGGCTTATTTTGATCATTTTAAATATAGCGTGCTGATTTCTCCTTTGACCCATAGAGGGGGCATTTCTTCCAGGGATCCTGTTTCCCAACACTTCACTTGGGAGTCGAGGAGCGTGTAGAGCGTATATATATACACGCGTGTACGCGCGCCGTGCACACGCAGAATTACGTATCTCTGCTCGCCTCTGGACCCATAGAGGGGGCATTTCTTCCAGGGATCCTGTTTCCCAACACTTCACTTGGGAGTCGAGGAGCGTGTAGAGCGTATATATATACACGCGTGTACGCGCGCCGTGCACACGCAGAATTACGTATCTCTGCTCGTCTCTGCTGAGATTTTGGTGCGTTCCCGCAACCAACTGAGCTGTCGCGCCCTTCCCCCATGCAGCTCTACCACTGATGGCTTTAATAAGCCGAGAAACAAGACTGGTGGCATTTGGGGCTTATTTGGCTGTTTCTGGCTGACTGAGAGCCGTTCTGTTTGTGTTGCAGCTTTGGCATCAGCCTGACATGCGGGGAGTCAGAAGATCCTCCTGCAGATGTAGCTATTGAACTGAAAGCTGTGTTTACAGACAAACAGTTTGTCCGAAACTCTTGTGTAGCTGGAGAATGGGGGGAAGAGCAATCGTCTATTCCTTACTTTCCGTTTATACCGGACCAGCCTTTTAGGGTGAGTACCAGGTTGACAGCAGCACGCGCCGTATCTGATAAAGCGCAACGCGATCAGGGCTGCAGCAGAACCCGTCGTGAAATCACGGTGTAGCCCACATTTCTCCGGTTGAGACGCTGGTCGCCGGCTTGTTGCTGTCGATGGGGCAGTTGTAGCGAGATCCCGCTGCTGCGTGCCAAGTGCAGGAAGTTCGGATGAGGCTAGGAACACCTCACCGGGGTGCTGTGACATGCTGGATGTTGTAATACTGTGTGATGAAGTGCACTTCCTGAGCTTAGTTTTATAGCTATAAATTAAAGTGTACCTCTATGTTATTAGTGCGTTACAAGTTATTACCAGAGAATGTAAATACTCTGTGGGCCTGCTGTATGTTTTGATGGGTTTTTTAATGGACAGAGTGTTTGCAGTTTAGTGCAGCTAATAAGGATCTTGTTCATCCTTTGTCTCCAGGGATGTTACGCTGAGGTTGACCGTAGCCCTTCGTGTTAGCAGATTAACCAGCTAAGCGATAGTGATATTCTCTTCTGAACCCTGGGATTAAATCTCCTGTCAAATTTAGGTCTGTAGTCGCTTGAAAATGGTGTACGTGGAAAAGCTGTGGTGCACGGGATGGACTGGGTTGACCTAGAAGCAGATTCCCATCTGTAGTGTTCATGGGTATGTGAAGATGTCTTTGCAGATCAGGACTAACAAAGTATGCAGCTGGGGAGGGCTGCTTCTCTCTCCGCAGCTTCGAGCTGAGGAAGAAAAGGCCGCCCGCTTTCTCCATGCGGCTGACCCAGAAAAGCCTCCCCCCTCCCTGCCCCTCTTTTCAAACCTCACTGGCCCCTCTGCTAAATGCCAGTGCTCTGACCAGCTGCCAAACTCTCTTAATCCTTCTTGCCCCCAAGATAATCTCCCCCAGCCCCAAAAGCTCACCGTCTCCCCAGATGCTGGGCTTTGAGAGGGGGTTTATGGCTGGTTTTGCTGCAGATCGGTTGCGCTCTACTTGCTTCTACAAACTCTCCCATCCGAGAGGGAAACACCCTTGGGTGCATGTGGGAAATGCACTTGAAAGGGTTTGGAGGCTTGGTCCTGCTCTGGCTGAGAGGGTTAGGCTGCCGGCTGCAGCGGGTGGTGCCTGGGCCCTCAGACAAGCCAGACAAATTACTCAGAGCATGTTCTGTGGGTGCCCCACCAATGACAGTTGATGTTAGAGGACATCGGCATTGCATATTTGTCGTGAGATACTGTACAAAGGGAGTTGTTCTTTTATTTTTTTTTATTTTTCCCCTCTTTTTTTTTCCCTCAAACGCACAAATGGAATTTAGGCTCCCTATTGACTCTGTACCTCTGATGGTCTCCCTCCTGGTGAATAAATTAGACTATTAAGTGTTCTTGCCAGTTACTTGGGATCCAGTTGAATTATTGGTCTGGCGTGGCCCAGAGTGATCTGAACAAAATGGATGGTAGGGCAGTGTTGAGGCTAACCATACCTTTTTCCTGATGAGGCCTAAGCCTGGACACGCCTGCCGCAGTGACGCTGGAGCTACGTGGCAGCATGGCCGCTTCCCTCTTGCCTGGTGCGCTACCAGGTCTCCAGGAGCTCTCCTGAACTGCCTGCTGCCACTTCTCCCACGGCGACGTGCCTTCAGTCAGCCTGGCTTTGGCTCGCTCAGTTTATCGTTGGCCCCGTTCCCATTTTTATACGCTGGAATAGCAGCAGAGTCAAGTGCCTGGAAGTAGTACTTCAGACTACCAGCATCTCGAAATGACACAGGATTTATGTGTGACTTCCCTGCAGATTTTTCTTCTTGGCCTGTCTGGACCTGGAGGTCTCAGAAGGCCTGTAGAAGAAGCGTGCGTTCTGTGCCCTCATACCCTGCTTCCTACTGGGGCAGCTCCAGCGAAGCTTAACTACAGGGCACCCTCGCATCCCATCCCGAACATCAGGAATCTCCTGACTTGTCCAAGCCTGTTTAGCTCCAGGCTTTCTTGCTTTTCCAGAGCATTTCTGCAGGGCTCTAGGAGGGATGAGCTGTGTCCCTCCCTGATCCTGTTGGTGCCTCATGCGAACTGTCTAGCTGAACTCCAGCCATCCCTGCACCGCATTTCCCTCGTCTCAGCCCAGTAAGGAGTAGAGTTCAGTGGGGAATTCTGGGCTGTCTGCAACCACGATAGCCAAGGCTTTTTAGTCTGCGGCAGCTCTGTGAGTACGTGTGGGAGGGGACGGCAAACCTATCCTTCGTCTTACGTTTGCTCCCTTCCAGTAAATTAACGGAAACGTGGAAAGCATTGCAGAGGGAACTGCCCCCTCGTTCTGCAGGGGGAAAAAATCTGTAGCAAGGAATGCAAGATTTACGTTGGAGAGAGAATTTCTTCCCCCTGTAATTAGCAGTTTGAGTCTGTTTCTGGCATTATCCCAAGAGGCGAAACCTCCCTGATGCCAGTGGGATTGGGTTCCAGAGTCCTTCCCGCCACAACGGTGTGAGATTGGATTAACGTCCCCATGAAGGAAGAGCAGATGCATCATCGCGTAACTGGTGTCATGGGGGCAAACTGGGCTCAACCCTGGCTGTTACGTGGCACGTAAGTCGCAAAACGTGTAACCACGCCAACACTACTTAAAAGCTAAGGGGGTGCTCTTTGTGTTCTGTGAAATACCTTCCCAGTTGCACCGTGAACAACATGCTTCATCGTTTTCTTTTTACAGGTTGAGATACTTTGCGAGCATCCCCGTTTTAGAATATTTGTGGATGGACATCAGCTCTTTGATTTTTACCATCGTATTGAAACACTGTCAGCAATCAACACGATAAAGATAAACGGAGATCTTCAGCTTACAAAACTTGGCTGACCTTGTTAGGACTGCAGATTCCAAACTGGCTCAGGTGCCATCGCCCGTTTGGAAAGGTGACAGCCAGCTCTGGACACAGCTATGGTAGGAAGGCTGCCCCATTCCTTTTCCGCATGCAGTTCTTCACTTCTGTGCCGATGAACCAGGCTGTTGTTTATCCTGATGAAGAACACTCTTGGTTAATAAGACATTGAGCCATTTTTCTTGGATCAAAATAGCCCACCTCTGCTGGATAATCAAATTGGAATGGATTCCGAAAGACTTGCAGTCTTGTTTCAGATCTCACAGAAAGGCAGTTTCTGAAACGCAGCACTAAAACCAGTTACTGAACAGCAGTGACGATAAAAAAAAAAAGCTTTTCTTCTGCAAGCATTCTTTCTGCACTGAAGTGGAGTAGTGTAGCGCAACACAGGGCCATGTGCTGACGTCCTTACCGGGGGCCTGAGCCTGGTTCCGCGGAAATCAATGGCAAAGCTCCCACTCACTTTAATGGGGTACAATCAAACTGTGTAGTCCTTAGTCAAGCACAATTCCCACTGGTTTCTATGGGATTTTTGCACGTGCCTGGGGGCTGGCTCTTCTGCTGGTGTAAATCAGCATTACCTCCATGGCTTGTAGTGGAATTTTGCTGATTGCTCCCAGCCGCTGATTTGGCCAAAGGACTGTGCAAAAACTGAATGAGGGTGTGAGGACACAGCGTGTATGTTTTAGTCAGGGTATTTGCATAGAATGTAGTTCGTTACAAGTTTTTGCACAATGTATTGTTAATACAGTTTTTAAAGCTTATCTGTAGTTTATTTATTTCTACTCATTGTATGTATTATTAGTAAAAATGAGCAATCTTACTGATGGTTAAGAACAGCAAAGTGTAAACATTTTGAATGTACCAAATGTCTTAGGTTCTTTGGGTAAACTTTACGTATCATTCTTGAAAAATCATGTTTCCTATTGAACATGTAGTTGCATTTTAATGGAGCCCTCTAGGCCCTGGGAAAATGGCATGGTAGTTGGTGGGGGTGGGGGGAACTCTTTGCATATTCACTAGAAACTGTTTTTCAGGGCTTACTAACTTTGCTGCACAGGATAGGTTTGAGTTAAAAGTTGATCCATTTTAAAAAACTTAATTGGTAGGTTTAACTGTGCTTTTACAACCTGAGAAAAAGTTAAAATTTGGCAGTCTCTTAGTTCAGAAAGAGAACCAGCCTTTTTCCAGGGGAGACTGTTTTTGCACTTGTTTGAGAACATATTCGGCCTTTGATATGACAATTAAAACTTGTCTAGACAGCCAAGTTACTAATGCTTGAAAATCAGCTACAGCACATGAATAATAACTTTACAAGTAGCTTTTTAAATAGTAAGTATAGCTGTATAAACACAGTCATTGAGCTACACTATAAATGAACACCGCCACTTTTCTTGACTTTTTCAGGACTAAATACACTTTTTTTCCCTTGGCTGCTCACAACAGACTGTAGCGGGTCTTTCTGAGTAGTTATAATCATGATATAAACATATATCTAGGCAATTTTGAAAACATGTAATATAGGGACTTTCTAAGACACAGAATACAAAAACATTCTTTGTAGCACAGTATTTAAAAAAAAAAAATAGAGAGAGAATCTCACAAACAGAACTATGTTAAACCTGCAATGAAGTTGTGGTGTAAAGCAACCAGAACTGGAATATCCAAAGTTAAGGGCAGAGTGCCAGTTGCAAAGCCTCATTTTGCGCTAATTTGGCCTGCAGTTAAGAAGCCTTAGTCTGCAAGCTGAAATTCCAACTGTGGCTCTGGTCCAAAGCCTGTTGAGGTCAATCAGAGTCCTCTGAGCATAGAAGCCTGATTCTTATTTCATGCAAGTGCAAATCTCTTTGTAGAACCATGAGGGTGTTGCTGCTGCTGCAGTCGAGTTAAGAATCAGGCTGCCATCGATCAAATACAAGTTAAAAATGGAATTTTTGGCTTTAACATTGACATTCCCTGACTTTTCCTCCTTTTTTCCAAATTAAGAGAGAAGCTGTTATTTTCCAGATGATCTCTTTATCTGGTGTGTGGCTTTTAAGTTGTGCATCAGATTCTGTTTGTACTCCAGATTGAATCCTGATATGAAATGTTCCTGTCTTGCTCTGGTTTTGCTCTTTTACATGATACATGATGACTGTGTCATTTTCCATTGTATAGAGAATGCTGGCAGTGTTTCGATACAAACAATATTCTTAAAAATGATGACGGTGATAATAAAATTCCAAGGGAAAGGTGCTTCTACATGAGGTGTTTGGATTTTTCTCCAGCTTGGAAATGCTTTGTGGTTCCAAAGCAGATGCAGGCAGAAGATTAATTCTGTTTGGAGAGATTTTTAGCACCCTCCCTGCCTAGCCCTTTCTCCAGCTAGATCAGTAAAGCCAGGTTTGCTGACGTGGTGCCGTTGCCCCAGGCTGTCCTGCTAGTCCAGCGGGCCATAAGTAGAAGGCTGGAAGGAGTAAGCAGCACCATGACCCTTCACTAGTACAAAAAGGATCTCCCTGACAGCACAACACTAGTAGAGATTTCTCCTCTGTGTAGGCCAGAAAAAGCCCTTTGGCTGACTTGAGTTTTCAGCCATTTGGGGTTCCTGGTAGGTTAGCACAGCCTGCAGAGTTGCTATCCTGCACAGGCTCGGCACAGCACAGTGCTTACGCCAGGGATGCCGGGATGAACGCCATGCACCGCCCTGTCAGTGGCATCCTTTGGGAACGAGCAAGGGCCCAGCGATACCACCTTGCCTCTGTTCCCACCTGCTGTGCTGGGCACTCCATTTCTTCCTGCTCCCGAAGTTTTCTGTCTCTGGAAGACGCTTTTTGGAAACTGGTTTTGCCTTTGCATAGCTCCACTAACCACAGCACCCACCACCTGATTCTGCTCTGTTGTGGTTTCTGAGCCACACTTTGAGGCAAGAAGGGCTGTGAACCCACTTCTGATAGGTCGTGGTTTGGCTGAAAGCACAGGAAAGGGCAGAAAGTCACAGTTAAGGCCTCCACATCCATTTGTCTGTATAACACCCGTTTGGAAGCGGGTTTTTTTGCTCTTGGGCAGTATCAGGCTATGGTAGGTGAAAGAAGGATGATGTCTGTGTAACCAAGGGCCGTTCCACGCGTGCTTGGCTTACGTTGGCTGATGGTGCTCAGAAGCAATGGCTGAACATTTCCACATGCATTGTTAAGTCAGAGGAAACTGAGGCCTTAAATGCTTCCGTTCGGTTGGACTTTGAATCAAATCCACATGTTTAAGATGTGAGGCTGTGCTGCAAAATGTGTAGCTGAATTTTTTGGTCTCCACAATTTAGGGGTTATTCAGATCTTAATTTTGGATAGAAGCCCTGAGAGACCTGAAATAAGACAGTATCCAAACTGGGCCAGGTTTTCAAAATGTTTTTCAGTAGGGACAAGTAGTCTGTGAGCTTCTTGGAAGCTGAAATTCTTCAGGACTAAGTGAGTGTGTGAACCGACTTTTGAAATCTTAGGCTAGAATTTATTAGTTGAATATTTCTGTGGTTTCCTCCGAATGAGGAAATTCATTCTGAAATGAAAGAAGCCTTGAATGGGTAAAACCCCTGACTTAGCATAGCTTTATTTTTCCCAAAGAGGAAAAAACAAACCCAACCAAAAAAGCATGACCAAATTATTTAGTTATGTTTGGAATTGGCTGTGATAAAGCTGATTTAATTAAAAAAAAAGAACAAAAAAGAGGTTATTGCCTCCTCAGAAAGAGCCTTGAAATACTTCAGTATCATGTGAGGTAGTCTGTGTCTAAACATATTTCACATAAATGCTTTTTCACAGCCAAGCTGTGTAAAACATTACAAAATACATTCTTTTTGTGTCACAATTAGAAATATTTGCCCCACCTTGAATGAACATTTTGTACTAAATATTCATAGGTTGTTTACGCGAACTTGCACTAACATACATTATATTCTCCCTCCCTTCCTTGACTAGCTTGGGAAGAAATAGGTGTAATATTGCTAAACCGGTTGAATGTAACATCTGCTTGAGGCATAGCATCTTTCTCAAGGGCTGTTTTGAGTAAACAGCGTGAAAACCAAAGGGAGAGCCTGATTCACCATTCGGCTGTGCCAGTTTTCCACCCCTGTCACTCTCCTGCTGTAAGGCTGAGACCGAAGCCCTGAGATTTTAATATAAGGGGAGCAGCACCGAGATTTTTATCTTCTGGGATTTAAAGCTATTCACCATGGAAAAAACAGAAGCAGAGTAGCCACAGCGCTCTCAGGCTTGGTAGTCCTGGGGTAGCCTGATGTGCTGTAGTCCTGACGGAGCCCGAGTTCAGAGAGGCAGTGGGCATTTAAGAGCTAGCCAAGAGCACAGGCTGCGGCGCTGCATGACAGCTTCCCAAGGACAGGCATTTGCCACACTGTCAGCCGCCACCTTCTGCAACCCCGCACCAGGGCACAGCAAAAACCAGCATTGCTTACAAGGTTGGAAAGCACAAACGGGTTCATGTTCCTACCTGCCATCTTTGAAAGAGGCTCACAAATAAGAATAGCCGTGCCGCTAAGGTATTTTTTTTTCCCCACATTCAAGCAGTGTGTCTGATGTGGGGTTCATCTTGCCTCCCATCCATGAGAGGTGCTCCCTGCAGAAATTCACAGTGCTGCTTTTTGCACTGAGGCTGGTTACAGTGACCTTTCCACGCAGAAAACTGTAGAACTGCAATTCTGCTCAGCCAGTCAGTGGTGGCTCTACGCAACCTCCCAGCACCCCTGGAACTGATATGACAGTGTGAGGAACAAGAGTCAGGCTGAGGGCAGCCCTAAATGCTCACTGTGATAAGCACAAATTAGGAAGGAAAGCTACACAAGTCTAGGAACAGTTAGTGACCTGGTGAGATACTTCGTAATCAAGGTTATTCTAATTTTTTCACATAGATCAAAAAGCACAGACCATCCAGTTCCAACCCCCTGCCACGGTCAGGGACACCTTCCACTAGACCAGGTTGCTCAAAGTCCCATCCAACCTGGCCTTGGACACTTGAAAGTCACTTTGCAATGAACGGTGTGTGGGGATAGAACCAAGGCCAGCCCAAATGGGGAGAAAAAATGAGCTGCAGACGCTTTATCTGACTTTGATACACCCTCCCAGCTCCTCCCAGCAATCACTGCTGTCATGAACACACACAATTATTACAACAAGGAGATTCAGCAGCATGTGCAAGATCAAAATAATAAACTCGTACTTTGCCACAGGTCCTCCCTAGCTTCTGTTGCTAGGCCTCTCCATCTGTCTGTCAACAAATAACTACATCCTGCTGCTTTCAAAATCCATGGCAAAAATCCCTTTGACTTTCATGGAAATAGGCCCCTAAGCAAAGGGGTGTTTCTAGCTCGTCCTCTGCAGTTATTTGCAGCTGGGGCAGACTCTAAAAATCTGTTCTTTCACTCTCCTGAGTTTATCTGAAAGTACAAATAGAGGAGTTTTCTGCCTGCATTATCCGGTTGAGTCGAGCCAACAGAAAGCAGAGCTGCTGCAGTAACACTGGTTTCACAGTTAGCCGATGAAATGTCTTACATTCGTTACCTTCTGATTTTAAAAGCGAGGGCGTGCACGGAGCGACCGGGCGATAATAGCAGTGTGCACCATTCAGCACAGATCTATTTTTATGTGTTGTGCCAATTTCATAATGAACTTTTAATAACAATAAAATGTGAAATCTTCGCTAGGTTGTTCTGTCTTTTATCTGAATTATTAATGCTCATTACACACCCTCTTGACTTCTTTAATCTTTTATATTCTGACTGGTTTTACATGTAGCTAACTCCTTCCCTCATAAAAATGTTGTGTGAAATTTTGGAATGAGATGTGCAGCTTTGGTAGCAGCTTGGGTAAAACTCCTTTACAGTTTAAACACGCTCTATAGAACAATCAAATAACTTCATTAGAGGAAAGAATAATTTGCTTACTGCTGCAAGACTCGCGCTGACATCACTGGGCAGTGCAAGCCTCCGGGGTTAACAGGCACGACTCAGGCCTTACGGCCAGGACATGAGACACCAGTGGCTGATTGCTTTTGCACAGGATAAAACAGCCCGTCAGCAGCGTAGCTCACACACATGCTCAAGTTCATTCTGGTGGGACTGGGTCCATGGGTGAGGGTTACATGGTGAGTAGAACCACCAGATCAGCTCTAGAGACGTGTTACTATGAGATCCAGTGTTTCTCATGTTGGTGTGATCCTAACTAAAGTTCATACTGACCTGACAAAGCTTCAAGGTCTTAGCATCTTCCAGCTGAAAAATTGGAAAACTCTGTATGACCTGAAGGGGAAAGGATTATGCCCTACATCCAGTTGTGGCTGTAAAAAATGAGTGAGGTTTCTGAGGGAAACCTCAAAATCCAAACAGCATTGACGCAGCAGATTTAAATACAGCTAGTTCTGTGGGTTTTCTTCCGATAAAACGATAAGGAGGCAGATGCCCCCCGCACAGTTCATCCTAGCTCTAACCCATGACCATGGATCTGTGGCCATCCTGGCTCAAAGACAGGCTGAAAATGGCCCTTTGTTTACTATACACAATCCTAAAAGGCGGTATGTGAAGACATTGAGAGATTCCTCCTTAGAACACAGGAATAGGTAACCTCCCCACCAGACTGCAGAATAAGAGGAGCCACGTAAGTACCTGGTGGGGACTTTCAATAGCAGGAACATATACATCCAATTTCTCCACTTTCATTGGCTAACTTCTGTAGAGGCCCTTGAAAAGCTCTAGTTTGGCCTGTAATATAGGCATGAGTTTTGGTAGGGGGAGGAAGGGAA